CACAGAGGGGCTGGCGGGCGGTGGGGGGGAGGTGTGTGCGCAGATTTTCCGCCCGAGGAAGGAGGTGGCAGAGAAAGAACTGGGGCATGCCAGCTCCCGTTATTGTTCTGCCTTCATCGGTAATTAGCAAGATAAGGAGGGGATGGCGTGAGGGAGGCAGCGTGGCGAGGACAAGGCAGCGCTGCACCCCACCTCATGCCCATGCGGCCATCTTACAGGCGGCGCTCGCCTCCCGCAAAATGGCCGCCGGGGCCCACACTGCCTCAGGCCTGCAGCTGGCCCATCCCAGCGGGCTCCCCTCCGCCAGCCCCGAGGCAGTGGGCACCCGGGAGCAGTGGCAGCCAGCAAAGGGGGCCCCAGGAGAAAAGGAGTTGCCATGGTGGACCAGAGTGCGCTGGCGAGCGGCCATTTTAGCCCGGGCCCTGTTCATGGCGCCAAGGCGCTGGGCGCGCGGCACTCCCACAGCTCTCTCCCCAGCCCTCCTGGCTGCAACAATCTTGGTACACTTCTCCTTCACCAGGTAGCACACACTGCCCAGGCCCTGCCCATGGCCACAGAGGCAGCTGTGCCCTTGCCATGGCTTTACCATTGGACATGAGCGGGTTACCCCACACAGCCTGCCTCACTGTGTCTCTGAGTTCTGAAGGCTTCCAGACACTGGAGTGACCCTGGAAGACACGGCCTGGACAGATAGAACATTCTGAGAGCTACAAGGCAAGATGTCACCTGCCCAGCCATCACAGAGTGAGTTATAGGCAAATTATGCCTTTCTCCTGGCCAAAATAAAATAAATCCCAAACCAAAACTGCAGTGATATCAGTAAAGAAGACATGAGCTTCCTAAACCGTAATTTAACACAAATTTAAAACAAGGTCAGTTATAAAATGCATGGTTACACAGACGACACAGACAAAGCTACTGATACATTTCTCACTCCATGGGAGCTTTACAGTGGGCACATCAGTGCTGCTCAGTTCTCCAAATGAGCAACACCAAATACCAACCAAGGAACTCTCATTTCTGGTCTTGGGCTGCCGTCAGGACAAGACCAGCAATTACTGACACTAAAGCAGAACTTGGAAGCATTTAATGTATCTTTAGCTATGATGGGACTACTTCAGATGATGCAATAGGCACACAATGCACGTTGAAAATTCGGCTTCTGCTCCAGTACTCTGTGGAGAACCAGAGGGTGATTGCAACTGCATGCAGGCAGGGCCATGTTATACATCTCAGCTAGACAGTGAAACATAAGGGATGGCAGGCTAGCTGCTCCGCTCCAGGGTTGTCTACACGGAAAACCACACCATTATAATGACAGCACTATAGGTCAACTGCTGCTGCTCCTTGCCACGCTGGTGCACATCTTCACTCTTAAACTGGCTTTCTCCAGTTTAGCTTAAACTGCTTCCAGCGTGACATCACTGGTATACAGGAGAGTCCTGCCTTCTGCTAAAGTAAATACCCACGGAGGTTGTACGAGTACAGCTCCTTGCTTTAAAATCCGCCCCCCAACCGTACGTCTGTAACCAGACCTGCCCTTCGGCTAACCTTTCTGTACTCCGCACACTCCTGGGCTGTTCACAGTGCCCGTGAAACACTATTACACCCTGCTTCCCTTGGGTGCTAATCCTGCTTGTCAACCCAAAGGCAGAAGCAGACGGTGGCTTGGCATTTTGATTACGTTGTGATCTGTTTGAACCTTCCAGATTCTTTTGATGTCTGTGCAAATTTGAAAGGGGGAGCCTTCATCCCCCACAATGAAACTCTGCTATCGCATGGTGAACCATCTCGGGACTCCTATGTCCATAGCCACTGCTAGATTTGAAGCGGGGAGGGGAGTTGCAGCTCCTCCAGGAAGAGTCTGAATTTCAGACTAACCAGTTCTGGCCCTGAGCAGAGAACACTACAGGGACAGCGTGTTGCTCTTCAAACAAATGCATGCGTAGGGGAGTGTGCACATGCACAGAGACACCAGATTTATACAAATAGATGCATTCATAGGAAAATGCAAATAGCGTCCTCTTCCATCCCAGGCTCCCTTCGAGCTCCTGACATCCCAAGGTTTCAGAGGAGTACAAGGGAGCCTCAGATCAAACATTAGCCCTGCGGGGGTTCCCTCAGGGAAGCAGCCATGCACTGGGGTCTTTTCCCCGCTTCCATGTGAGGTTTCCCGACCCGGCCTTCCGTGGGTGCTCAGTTCTGACACGCGTACGACACGCGCGCGCGCATGCAGAGCCTTGCTAAAAGGTGCTCTGGGAATTGAGCTCCACTTCCTCTTTCTCCTGAATCAATTGTCATAAACCAGCTTTTGTTTTATTTTTAACAAAGCGACAGAATTAATCTCCACATGCAGCCCTTGACACTCCCACGGCCCTGTCCTTTAACAGAACAAGGTGTCCAGGGCCCCTGAGGACATGGGCACGGGGAGACAGCAGGCTAAGAAAGACCAGGAGAGGATGCTTTCTGGGTGCACAGAAATCCCCTGCTCCTCTCTTGAGCCCATTGCATGGCAGGCAGAGAGGTGGTGGGATGGGAAGGGGACTGGGTGGATGGTGGGCAAGGCAACTTCCAACCTCTCCAACCCAATCTCCAGCTGTTCCCTTTATCCCCTACCCACTGGAGTACCCACTTTCAACCTGCATTTTACCTTGCATTCTGTTCCTCTTGCTCTTCAGTGCCAGCAAGAGGTGACTCCTGCAGCACCATTGCACAATCAGTGGGCTGATGGGCAACCTGTGACAGCCTGAGCTCTGCCTGCCTGTGGCAAACCCCTGTCTCCAGCATGGCCAAGGACTCATCTCTCCTCCTCCTCCTCCCATCCCACATACCCAGGTTCAGGACTCAGACACATATGGAGACATTTCTTGATGAAACCTATCAGTGGGTGAGTGGCAGCTGAGCAGGTACTGAGCAAGACGTGGGGCCAGACAGCAGCCAGGGGGGAAGGCAGCGGGTGGAGGGAACGTGCCTCGGGAGGAATACTCACAAAGGGCTGCTTTCATTAATAAAACATTCCCCCCTCGGTTGCCTTTTGATTTGGGTGTAAGAATTAACCCCATCTGCCCAACAGCACGCTACCTACCAAGTCATCTCTGCTGAGGAAGGCTGTCTGACGTGTCTGCTCAATTGCCTGGCTTCCCACTGCCCATGTTCCTTGGCAGCCCAGACCCCTCCAAACAGCTCACCAGCCTCGCTGGGTCTGCCCTATGGAAGAGATCCTCTTCTCACAACATAGATTAGACCCAGTGAAAATAGGCTTAGTGAAAAGACCATTTCACTATTAATGCCACCCCTCCACAACCCCCCCCCACCAGCTTCACACTCTCTCACAACCAGAAAGATTATAACAAATCCTGGTCACCTTTTGCCCCTGCTAACTACTGCTCCAGTCTTTGCACCGCATGCCTTCTACCACGAGTAGAGAGCTGGGCACAGGGAGTACTTATATATATACACACACATCTATCTAGTCAGCACTGGAGGTGTTCAGCTGCACAACACACATCTCCCTGCACAGCATCTCGCCTTGTCACAACACCCCAACCCATCCCTCTCTGCTGTAATTGCAGCGCCTGGTCCTTGGGCATCAGCAGAAAGTTGCAGCAAATCCTACGTTGGTTAAAGCACAATCTGTCCATTCAAAATTGGTGGGGGGTTGCTTTTAAATCACTGAGACATTTCTATTCCCTTTCTGTTTAAAGTAAAACCGAGATGCAGAGATGCCTTCGAACCGACAGCCCCTTCATTTTTCCAGAGGTGTGTTTTAATGAGTGACTCGCCTTCCAAAAAGGGGCCGGCAAAGGGGAAGGACGGCAGATTCTCCACACAAATTCAATAGCTGGTAGGTTGCCATGGGCTAAAGCATTTCTTTGCACACATGAAGGGAAGGGACTCCAGAGCACTAAGGGTTTTGCCTCCCATGAGTTATAGCTCTACCCTTCAAGAGCGGAATAAATGCTTTATCCCATTGCAGCCTGTGATGTATTCTACATAGATGGATTGATTTCCCCTATTGTTCTTAATAAATCCTGGCGCATGAAGAAACTCACTGCACAGCCATTTTTCCTGCCTTGTTCTAACTTGCAGGAGTAATAAGGGTCAGATGTGACTGCAGTGGGAAGCAAAGGCCGTACGTGAGGCTGTGCTTTGTGGGATGCAGTGGGTGTGCTTGCAGGGGCTTGGTGGGTGCAGACAACCAGCTCCCTCTTCCCTGTTTATTCCCCCTTTGAGTCGAAGCTGAGGGAAAAGAGAACCATGGCTGGGTACTGCAGCACTGGTGTGGCTCTGACAGGAGCAGATACTGCCAAGCTGAGCCTGCACAAGCCTCCCAGATCTGCACAGAGAAATCTGCTCTGGCCTTCTCTGACTTGAGCTCTCAATTGTGAGAGATAAATACATATATTGTATTGTCTGATAAATGCAGGGCTGAGCATTGCACCACTGTAGAGCCTTCCTGAGCACACCCAGCCCTCTGTTGTGCCCCGTCCATCATACCTGTCTCTGCCCATGTCCCAGCTTAGAGTCCACACCACCAACACAGAGGCTCCTCTTGTTTTTGTTTGTTTGGGGTTTTTTAAAATCAAAATGCCAAACTAACCCCCTCTCAATTACTCCCAACAGCACAACTCAGAGCCCCAGATTGTTAAAAGGTTCTCTCCCTCCATACCATCTTTTCTACTCACAAGGTTGACATCCACCCTCTTTTACTGCTACAGGAGGGTGTTTGCTGGACACAGCTTTGCTGGTGTCCAGCAATGAGGCACTGCTGGGCTCCAAGAAGCAGGTGGCTCTGCACAATCCTGCCTTGGCCACCTGCCTCCATCCAGGCTCCCTGGATTATCGCTGCTGGTCTTCTCTAGCAGCAGCTAACAACTGGCCCTGATTCAAAAGCCTGGCTGGGAATTTGGCTGGTAGAGAGAGGGAGGGATCAGGTAAAAGAGCTGGTCTCCCATGCATGAGTTGGACTCAGTCCTTCAGCAAGACTTCCAGGGACTCACCTCTCCTTGCTCAGGTGGAGACGTCCCAGCCCTTCCCAAGGCATCCCACTCCAGGAACTCTCAGTCATGTCTGATTAAGGAAAAGAGAATTTGTCTCAATTAGAAAGAGGTTCCCATATGCGTGGACGGATGTCAAGTAATTACCGCATGTCACTCACGTTTGGAAAAGAGACCTTAAATTTAGGGCCATGCAAACTTGCACACACAATTGCAAGTGAGTTACAGACCTTGGCATGCTCCAGAGCATACGTTGTGTGGATGCTTTCAAGCCCATCCCTCGGCTGAAATACACCCAGCCACATAAAATACAGCCAGACACGACCCCGTTCTCTAATAAGGAAATAAAGCCGAGTGGACCTGCATTGCCAGACCCCAGACAGCAACACTGTCTCTTTAATTTTCTCCCTGGCTATCTCATCCTTTGCACAAACTCTTTCCTCCCCGTGGCTTCTTCCAGCCTGGTGGGCAAAGTGGGAAAACATCATTAGGGAGGAAAAATAATTTAGTTTGTTAATCAGTATCCAGTGGTGGGAAACAAGAAAGACAGAGAGCTGGGCTGGCGGTTAGGGCTTAGGAAGGGCCAGCACAAAGCCCACCATTCATGACATCTGGGGCTGGGATTCTCATTGAATTAAACAGACACAAAGAGCAGAGGCATTTCATGCTCTCTTCACAAGAATTATCATATCTCCCTGGCACTAGGAAACCTTCAGCACAAGAGAGGGGGAGAGAGAGAGAGAGAGGGGAAAGCGGGCAGGCTGGGTAGAAATATGGGGCAGGGTAGAAGAGGCTTTGTTCCAGGGTTGGATTTATGGATGGGATGCGGTGCGTTGCTTTGCAGGGAGAGACAGGGCCCTGGCGCGCTGGGTCTAATAAGAATCAGCAAATGTGAAACAGGGGGCCCCTGTGTACCATGAAGCAGGGAAACCCACGTTTGACAAGCCAACAGAATAACCGCTCGCGTCTCAAGGCTGTGGAAGGATGCTGACGTTCCTACGAGATGTGTCGTCTTGTGTGTGTGTCAGCGAGGAGGGGGAGAAGGGGAGAGGCGAGGAGTATAAACAAGAGACCAGGCAGCATCGTTCAGTCATGAAAATTAATTAGCTGATGTGCAAACCATGGCTGCCTCTTCCTACTGCCCTGCAAGCATTCCCCATAAAGCTATGGTGTGTGCAGAGCCTGTGACTGGGAATGACAGGGGCAGATTAGGCAGCTCCTTGGGACACAAGCCTGGCAGCAAGAAACCCACAGCCCGTGCAGAAAAGGTGAGGAGGGGATGATTAGTGTCCTTGGGGAAGGGACAGAGTCCAGGGACCAGAAGAAAGAGAAAAGGGAGAGACCGGGCACCAAGCTGAGACCAGGAATCGTGTTGCTGCAGCAGCATAAATTGGGGTGGATCTCAAAAACCAGCCATTAAAAAACCAGGGGCTGGTGGACAGCAAAACCACTTACGGTTTAGATCAGAAACTCTCTGGGGCAGGACCTGTCATCTCCTGCAGGCTCACACCATGGAGGCCTGTCCTTCTTGGTCTCTGGGCATTACCAGAAGATCTACTTTAAATACTAATTGCTCCATGATCAAGACCTGTGAGCTGCTGGGAGGCTCCCTACAGCATTACCTGTGGGAAGAGGGGATAGATCTCTGACCTCACATCCCCAGGGTAATTTGACCCCGTGCACTAGTGCCACAAGCAAATATTACTACCCAGTGATGAAGATGAGCAATTCCTGACCAACTTCATATATCCCATCCCCAAGCTTTGAGATCCTACTATAATGTCATGTTTATTCTTTGGCTGGAACAACCACAGAAGAATGAGGGTGCCAGGGAAAAGAGGAAAAAAAGGGAATGAAGGGATGCAGAAAGTGATTGGTAGGGAAAAAACAGAGAAGACTCTTTGACATGGAATGTGCACAGTGAACACAACGTGCTGGAAACAAAGGGATGCAAGGAGAGAGGAGAGGCTGGGATGGGCATCTCGGCAGACATGTAGGTAAAAGTTGAAAAGGAAGCACTAATTAGCACCCAGACCATCACTTTCCATTAATAGCTTGTCACCGTTTCCTTGATGTTGCTGAGAGCAGGGAAGTTGGTATGTGTGATGCTTACCTGTCTCTATCTCATTAACAGAAGTGAGGGTGAGAACAGATGTTTATTGCCTGCATTCAGATAGACAGGCCCTTTGCTGAACTGAGAGGCAGGAGAGAGGGGGAAAGTTATGAAAGAGATGCTCATGAAACACAAGCCAAGCCCAAACAATGGAAACCCAAACGCAGGACACTTGGAAACCTGTGCCGATCCAGAAATGGCCCCAGGCAGGTATCAGGTTCCAGGAATTCTGGAAACACAAAACTGCTCAGTCAAATAATTATAACCCAGGGCAAATACACTGCCAGCTGGGGGAGAGTGCTCTGGTATTGGCACAAGGTATGTGCAAGGGGCTGTGACTGCATTAGACCTGGGAAAGTAAAACAAAGGGCTGCTTACTTTCCAGACTGATTTGCTCAAGGTGTCCAGTCCACTCAAAAACAGACAGCCAAGCATCTTACTGAGAGCCAGAATGGAGATACCCACCAGTAAACAAAGGAAAAAAAGAAAACAAAAATGTGCTATTTCAGGCAAACATATATTTCAGGCTTTGCATATAATCACCTTTGGAGTAATTCTTCCAGCAGCTAAAAAAGAGATTATCCTTCCTATGTAAAACACAAAGGCCTCTCCTTTCCCTCCAACATGTGGAATGGCTCCTGACAGTGACATGGGAAAGAGGGAGTGGGCAAGGCAAGGCAAGGCAAGGCAAGGACGCCAATCAGCAAGTACCTGCGAGCTGGTAGCACACATCTGCTGGTGCGATGACGGGAGCGTGCGCGTGTGTGCACATTCCTAGGGACACCCCCGCTTCCAGCAGCACATAAATCCACTACACAAGCCAAAGGTTCCTCTACTGCAGGAGCCCAAACCTCCTTAGGAGGGAGCGAGGGAAAACCAAAGGCAAAGAAAACATCAAGGCAGGGACTGAAGGAATAAAGGCTTCCCCCCTTTCAGCTTGGAGACATCTTCTTGGCCATTTAGCTCAGATCAAGTGTAGGCTCTGTTGACTCCCCCACCTATTCAAACGAACACTTTCAATAGTCTGATGGGTCTTTTTTGCTCTACAGCTTCTCTACCCCTGTGTTTGACGTCCCCAGCCAATGCAGTTAATGCCACATGCAGAAATACTGCCCTGAAGAGCCCTCACTGAGATTGCGTGGTCAAGCACTTCAAACTTAGGAAGTGTCCAATTTATGGCTGTCCACGCAACCTTAATTCCACCTCGCTGTGCAGCCACTCTGGACAGGAAAAGAGGGAGTGAGCTAAAAATAGGCTGTGACCGTGTCGTCAGCCTCGTAAGGACATGGGCAGGGAGAGGCTGAATTAACGTCTCATGGTCAGAATGAAATCAGGTACCCCCCGACTTGCCAGCGCCTGCATTGGTGCCTTCAACCATGTACATTTTTAATATACAGAAATCACGTGCATTCTAAACATACAGAAAAATGCATTATTTATAGCTAATAAATAATAGATTGTTTATATAAGCAAAAAGAAAAACAATTGTAGGCAAGTGTAACAAATTCCCCTTCCTCCACCCCGCACCCATCCCTGCTTCATCCTGTGCGGGCAGAGAGATTTTCAAGCCCCAAGCCTCGGCACAGATTTCTGCCACTATGAAATACAGGGCTAATGTTATCTGGCAGCGGCAGAAGGCTGCTCTCCTGGGGCCAGCAGAGAAGGGGACTGCTGGGGTTGGCAGTGCCCAGGCCAATGCACCCACATCCCCTTCACTTCTCCCTCCTGGCAAAAGCACACAGAGGAGTTTTCTCCCAGGAGAAGGGTCTGTGCTGGAAGGATATGACCAAAAGGTGGAAAGGCGTGATGGAGCTGGCTGTGAACACCCTCCCACCTTCCCTGGCTGGTCCACAGCTCTGCAATAAAGTGGTGGGAGTCCGTGGTTTCACCCTGCTCCTAATCTGTTATTATTATTCCAGGGAAACAATAAATTTTAATTTTTCGCCCCCCCTCCTCAAGAGGCAAGCGAAGGGAAATCGTGATTCTGAACAATTCATAATTCAGCTAAACCTGAAAGGAATTTAAGGGACAAAGAACAGGCATTTCTCGACTCGAAGAGCTTCCCCCAGACGAATTTCAAGGGCCCACAGCAAACAATGGGAGTGTCAGAGGTTCTCAAAAAGAAAAAAAAGTTCAAGAATCTTTACAATAAAAAGTGTTAGGCAACACAGAGGTCAGAGCCAGCTCCTCCTATAATAAATAGCACGACTACCCTACATTAACTATAGGAGACATTTTAATGCAGTGCCTCAGCTTCGTGCTAATTATACTTTTTCACCATATTTTGAACCTAAGAAAAAATGTCATCAGTTAATTATAACAGATGAGGGAGTGTGAAGACTTCCTCAATAAATAATGCCTTGATATCTCATATCCAACAAGCTGCGTGCTCTGCTCTGAAGGTGCCCAGAAATATGTCCTCTCAGGAAATATATCAAGAACTGATGGTCCCATAAGCTGGCTTTGTTTCCAAGCCTTGATTTTCAGCCCAATAATTAAGTGATTTTTATGGATTGGGGAGAGTAAAGGTTGGGGGACTGCTGGAATGGTGCCAGAGAGAGTAAATGTTTAAAAATAAATAAATTCCTAAATCAAAATGAGATACAAGAGACCTCAACAAATTTCTCCTACGGCTGCACAGGTGAGCACACAGACACAATTTGGTTTCTGGACCCATGTCCCATCCTTCCTGCATTCGTGGCATCTCCATGGGAGACTGGCATACACTGAAAAAGCCTGGTTTTAATGAAACCAGGCCACTGCTGCCAGCATGCCACCAGGAGCCAGCCACCACTGTCCACCTACCCCCAGGAGGAGGAGGAGGAAGGCACCATGCCCCTGCTGCTGTGCCACCCTGGGCACTGCCCCTGCTGCACCCATCCCTGCCAAGGCTGCTGGGCATCCGGGGCCTGACGAGGTTCCTCAACTAAACCATCTTTCTTTCAGCTCCCTTCTCCACCTAGCACCCCTCACTTCCCCCTCTGAAGAGCCGGGATTTGGCGTGGGAAAGATGTCTTCGGGCTTTTCACAAATCCAGTATCCCCTTGAACCAAAACCAATTAGCCTGGCCCAAGGTCCTGCCATTGAAGGACTGTCCCTTCTTTTCAAACCCCCGCGGGCTCAATTGCTCTAAGGAGCCTGGATGTGAATGAGCAAAGCCCGCTTAAAGTGGTACTTAAGGCCAGACCAGGGTGAAGGAAAAGAGAAAGCCTCTATAGGAACAGCAAGCTGAGTTTCCAAGAGACAGCTAACTGCCGGAGATTGTGTTCTTTTGCTCCCCCCATTTTCTTTTTTTTACCCCCACTCCTTAGCTTTCGAGGCAAACGCTCCTAACCAAACCTGAGCCCCTGAATAAATATTAGAAAACACGAAAGCCAGAACCTCGTCCTGACTCCGTGCGGGAGCCCGCCTGTGGGAAGTGTGATGGCCCGGCCTCGTATGCCAGCTCTGGTCACAAATATGTGCACTCAGAGGGACAGAGGGATGGTGAGAAGCCCAAGATGATGTTTTTCCAGTTTGGGTGCTGGCAAACATCTTTCCAAGGTGACCAGGCTTGCGAGCACGAAACACCAAAATCCCCAACCTGGACGGGGTGACTCCCTGTACCGTGTGCTGGGGAAGCCAGTGCGGGCAGCCTCATGTTCATGTTATGCTGGTGGTCCCTGGTGACACCCAGAGACTCAGGGTGACTGAGGGGCTGCAGTGTGGCAGGAGCAGTGCCAGGGTGACACGCAGTACCCACACCATGAACGGTGTGTGTGCACCACCTCGTGCCAGGCGCCTCAGTGCTGATGCCAAACCAGCACCTTCCCTCCAGCCACACAGACCAGGGTTTCCAGCAGGCAGCTGTAATCCCTCCCTGGTGGACGAGCAGCACCCATCCATGGCCACAGGTTGGATGGACCCTCCAAGCTCCTCGGTTCTGCCCTTTCTGCGGCGGCACAGACAAAGCCAGGGTAGAACAGTAGGTAAAGGGAGGCTCTGTCCATTTGCATCAAGGGTGCAGGCAGGGCATGGGAGTCAAGAGAGACAAAAGAAATGGCTGAGCCCAGCCTCAAGAGTGGAACTTGCCATTGCCAGGCAGTTCCACAAAAATGCCCATTGATGGGATTTCATCCATAACCAAGAGTGCACACTCACACAGCCTGGCTTCCAGGGGAGCTCCTTCCAATAGCAGGGCCTGAATAGCTCCTTCTCCACCTGACCCCGAGCCCTGGTGAGTTTGGCTGCCCCAGGTATTTGGTATAAAGCCCCTTCATCTCATGCACCAAGCCAAACTCACTGCATGGTGGACAAGTTTTAGGAAAAGGTGGGAAATCCTGAGCTGGAGCACGCAATCTCCCAGAGCATCATTTCCGTGGGGTGAAACCCACAAACTGTATTTTCCATTCATCCCCCAATGGCACATGCTGATTCTTCTGTTCCTGTCTCCCTCTGCCCATCCCTAGCTCTGCCTGAAGAACAAAGACATCACAACCCGGCTCCAGGAACCTCACCCATGTTTGGCCTACGCTGCATCCTATTCTCCACCAGGAGAGCCCCAGTGAGAAGAGAAAGAACCAGGAATGCCAGGACATGGACTCTCATCTCAGCACGCCCCAAAAAGACGCCTTCCCTTCTGGGTTTTGCCTATACAAGGGCAAAGACCCAACCAAACCAGCAGCTACCCTAACAGGGCAAAAAAGCCACAGAGGGAACTGTGTCCAGCCAAAATCCATCCCTGGCCCAAGGATGGACCCTTGGGGACCTCCCTTCCAATATGGCACTTAAAAAAAAAAAAAAAACAGAAAGCAGAGACCTGTCGGTGGGCTGCCAGGGACTCTCTGGATGCAGCGGGTATGCCACAGGCAGAGATTTGCTGGGGGGCTTCATCCACTGCCTCACCCCCAACCCACACACACAGGAGCTGGGGATTCTCATCCTGCTGTCCCCCATCACTCACTGACACCTCCCTTGTTAATTGAGGGGGTGCTGCCTTCACACCTCCTCGAGGCATCCATAGGTTCATGCCAACAATGGGGACAAAAATGAAGCATTAAAGCAGCAGAAAAAATTCAACCTCACTTTCTCTCTCCTGGACGTTAAAGGCCAAATCGCTAAGTCCCTGTCTCAGTCCCCTTCGGGGGAACTGCCCTGGGGTAAGTGCACCAAGTACATGGCTCAAAAAAATACCTGAAAAATCAGCTCAGCAGAGGTGATTTTGTGGAGAAAAAAAAAATAGTAAAAGTCAAGAGTGGTTTCTGACCAGCTGATTGAATAGCAAGGTGAAAAGGCTGGCATCAATCCTTTGTAAGAGTTCTCATGTAGACACGGATTTCCACACTTCCATTTTATTTCATAAAATTATATATATATATATGTATTTATATATACACACACAAAGACATTTATTATATGTGTGTATATTTTTTTTTCCTCAGATCCTCTTTTTATATTTTCACCTTTTGCAATTACAAAGGCCAGGGACAGAAATACCTCCTGGGTTCTGCCAGTGCAGAACACTCCCACCAAACAGATTTTCTCTAACATGCTGGTTGAATGATTTCTCCTGAATTACATTCATTAGGAATTTGAATGTTTCTTTCCTCCATCCCCCATCAAATCATTACTCCGGAATAAATGCATTCATCAACCACCTTGCTCAGTTCCCTCCTGCTTTGTTCAGTCTAGTTTTAAAGCATCTCCACTGAAACTGTTTGCACCTGACTCGATGCTAGAGCACCAAAGGGGGAAAAAAATAAATAGCAGAAGAATTGAGCGCCACTCACAATATTGTGAAAATAATTGGAAAATTATTTCTTAAAAATAGCCAACATAATAAAGGAAGGAAAGGACTACATTCCTTCCTCCCCACCTCCGATCTCTTCCACAATTTCTGGGATTGCATCGAGTATACATATTCCAGATGGGCTGGAGAGAAGGAGGTTGGTTCTTAATGACACGTCTTTCGCTGCCTTTGGAATGAATGATTCATTCGGATCTTGCCGAGACTCGGTGCCACAGTTGAGTTACATTTCTAGAAAATCCGTATCTTTAATTCTGGCGCTGCGTGTGGGACCCAGCAAATCATGGAATTACTGCTGTAACTTCGGATTAGTAACGCTTTCTAAATGATAGTCTAATTCCAGGCCTTCATGCTTTTCAGCGTTCACACTCACACAGCCTTTTCCCTGGGAGGCTTCCTGCGGAATTAGTGCTGGCGTCTTCATCTTTCTCTGCCCTTTTTAATTTCTCCAATGACTTCTCATTAGAATATATAATAACAGCTCCTCAGAACTTTTCTTTCTCCCGGTATAGCCAAATTCAGGCTGAGATCCTTTTTCCTTACTGTGGTTATGGCGGTGCTTTGCTGGCCCTGGAAGGGTGCACAGGCAGATTTAGCTTGGCGGGCCTACGTGCCATCTGACGCCATTACCCCGTGCAAGGGAAGGTGGAAAACCTGCCTGCGAGGTGCGGGGGGC